TTTCATTTAGCAAATTTTAAACATTCATTTGTCATATTTTACATTTAATTTAGCAGATTTGACCATGTTTAATATACAACAGTCTACTACACCCCAGTTTATTTTGGGTTTCCATCGAGTCTGGTTTCCTTTTAAACCTACTTTTATATGCATAACTTATAAATATTTCCTATAAGAACATTGAGTCATCTGTCCTGTGTAAACTTTAATAGAAATGTATTATTCATCACAGTATTATTATTTTTATATCTTTCTGTTATGTGTCTCTAGGGAAGGCCCCGCCCCCTTTCATTAAAATTTAAAGGTTAGAAAACACAGACTGTCAAAATTTGTATGTCCATCACATTGGTTACCAGTCGACATTTTTGTGATCTTTTGTAGAAGTTGTATGAATCATTGTTCTCTAGGAACTCTGTGGCAGCCAATCCCTGTTCGTCTGCCCTGGTCACCTGACTTAGATCGGCCAATGGCCCTGCGACATCCGTCGGACCAACCTGTCCATCAGTGGGACTAACAATGACCTAAGGCTGAGGAATACTTCCGGGTTACGAAATTGCGCATTTCTGTCCGCAACAAAGTCTTGCAGCACCTGGAGACAACGTCTATCGTGAACGACAGACGTTAAACGAGGACTTCAACAATCGACAACCACATCGAAAGAGTCCGCAATCTGTGTGCAGTGCGATAGCGTATCAACTAACTTCCAGGTAAGAAAAGCGGACAAATATTTGGTAGTCAAAGGTTTGTAGAGTTGTGAAGGGACACCTGTGTGATCCTGTGTACGTGTGGCTGGCGGCATATGTTATTGTTTGGTGGGCATGTAACGTTGGCTGTAGTCTGGGGCATTGTGGCCAGTAAAGCTGTTTATTTTGATTAGTGCAGCGGCATACGGTAGTGTGGATGCGGAAATTATCTGAGAGTACTTGGTTGTATTTTTGAAACAATAGGAAAGAGTAGGAACTAGTGATCAGGATAATTTTGGGGCTCCAACTGCGGCCCGGGTTCGATTCCCTTTGTGGGAACAATAGGAGGGAGGATACCGGAGGGAGCATAGAAACGGAACAATAGGATTAGGACTGGGAGTAGAATCGGAACAATAGGAGCATTGAGTAGAAAAAGAAGAAAGGCCCCTGGGACGCGGACGTAACCCGCCTCGAATTCGGACACGACACCAACACGCTATTTTATAAAACGCCTACTTCAAAAGGTCTGGACCCATTGGAATGGACCAGTTAGCGGCGCTTGAACCCCACTGTTCAATACACTTTTGTATGTTCAGCTCTGTAATTACCGTTTGATATGAATCCGCCCAGGACAATAGCCTTGATCCACCTGAAAACGCAAACGTAGAGTGGGGGTCTGTAGGGGGTTACGAGATCCTGTTTGCGTCGCATAAAAAAAAATCAGCCCAAGAAATTATCGCAATTCAGTGTGCAACACCCTGGATGGAATAACATGTTCACTCTTGTGAAGTGATACTAGTGTTGGTGATGAGGAAATCTTTAGGAAAAAGACTTCGCTAATCATTCTCCTAGTATACTGTAAACCCCTATGTGAGCCCGGCCTAATTCTGACATTATCCCGCCCTGACGCCAGGTGCAGCTGGCCAGGCCAGGTAGGAGAGTGTGAAGACAAAGGGACAAAAAAAATCTCTGAGCAAAACACAGCAAAATGTTTGTTGACTACAAGACAGTATTAAAATTGGTGTGGCAGTATCATTGGCAGTCGAGTATATATCCATACGCAACTGAGGTATGGATGACTAAAAATATACCAGGATTACAAAACAAACACCTACAAACACTTCAAAAATAAGCCAAAGCTCACACCCTTGCAATGTTACTCTCATTACTCTCAAAAACCCTGCATAGAATCAGTAACAACATGGAGGTAGAAAAAGACCTCTATGGTAGCAACATATGGCACACAGCTCACTTTTAATAATTAATGGTGTCTCGGCGGTTTCAGTTATGTAAGCTGTTTCAGCAACCTTTTATACAGATGATGAGCATTTGTTATTTCAGCATGTTTTATAGATTGCTTGTTTCATTTTTTTTTAGAGGTTGATCCAGCTCTCTTGCGACAACAGGCAGCATGGAAGGTTTGGATGACGTCATGAGAGGATCATCAGGGGGTTCAGCCAACACTGTGTCCATTAGGCAAGGAGGATCAGCGGGGGGTACTGCCAACACTGTTTCCACCTGGCAAGGAGAAAGGGGGAGGCAGGACAAAGGTGTGAAAGTGTTCGGGTGTGAGGACTGTGGCAAGAAGTTCAGTAGTCTTAGTAATCTGAGGAGACACAAGCTGACTCACACTGCAGAGAGACAAGTGTTCGGGTGTGAGGAATGTGACAAGAAGTTCAGTAGTCTTAGTAATCTGAGGAGACACAAGCTGACTCACACTGCAGAGAGACAAGTGTTCGGGTGTGAGGAATGTGACAAGAAGTTCAGTAGTCTTGGTAATCTGACGAGACACAAGAAGCTGAATCACACTGGATTGAAACCCTACATGTGTGGGGAGTGCAACAAACAGTTTGGTGAGCTTGCAAGTCTGATGAAACACATGTGGACTCACACAGGGGAGAA